ATATGCATTCCTGACTTATGTTGAATGCTGGATTATCGATAGGGAGTGTACTCCTAGTATTTATGGATTTGATGAACCCAGTTTTGGGAGTTGATGTCATTTATGAACCCGGTTTGGGTGTTGACTATTTACGATGATTGAACCCGGTTTGGTTGTTGACAATTTATGATTATTGAACTCGTTGGGAATTGCATATGTGATATTGTTGAAATTGTTTTTGAAAAAGAGTAGCGCCTCAAGTGTTTTGAAATAAATTTTGAAAATTTTATTCTAAATTTCGAGAAATAAAAGTGGGACGTTACAACAACCTTCGAATATTGGCCGAGGTCTTTCGTGCTTTTCATTTCTGGATGGTATCCGATTGCCAACAAACAAAGAAAGATCTACCAAATAGAACTGACACAAACTATGAAGCTCGAAAATTTCAAGAATTTCGGATAGATCTATGTATATAAACTGTGAATCGCGAGAATTTAGACTGAAATAACATATGCATGACAGTAACAATTTAAAATTTTCGGCCCGATCTATCTGTAGCATACATAGATCTAGCTGTAATTTTTGGGATATCAACAGCGAAGTCCGAAAAAGTAGTGACAAATAACAACTATGAAGCCCGAAAAAGTGAAATCTTTCGACTAATCTATGTATATCAGACATAGATCCGTCGAAATTTTCCGATTAATCAGGCAAATTTGTAAAATTAGGAGATGTTTCCGTTTTTTTTTTTTTTTTTTTTTTTTNACAACAAAAAGTAGAGAGACATTTCTAGAAGAAGACAATCGGTGCAATATAAAACGGAAATGGAAACCCTACAGAGAATGTTGGCTTTTAATACTCATGTCTAATCGATTTTAGCCGTCCGATTAAATCATGTGTAGTGATACTGACCGTTGGATCAAGAAGTAATGTTGGGCTGAATTTTGACAGCCACAACCACTAATCAAGAAGTGGGCCTTTCATTGGTAAAATTGGGCTCATAAAATCGGGCTATTTTTTTGACACATTCATGTGCAGCCCAAATATTTTATTAATTGGGCTTCAATCCTTGTTTTATTGGCCTGTTTTGTACTTACAATTTTGTGTTTTAATTAACAAATATATCTCAATGTTTGAACACATTTTTATACTTTATTCAATTTATATGTGTTGAATATTGTGTTGGTCCATTCTATTATTTTTTGATAATTTAGTACATAAATTAGGTTACTTTATTATTTTATTTTATGTTATACTATTTGAAATGTGTATTTTTAATATAAATTTCTATTCCCATTCTTAATTAGCGATGGTTTCGTTAAAAATTAATCAATTATATTATGTTTTTGTTCTTAATATTGTTGTGTATTGATTATGTAATTTCAAAATTTCAATTTTACAAATAAATTGAAAATAATTTTGCAATCCTGTTATTTTGATTAGGTACTATGGATTCTAATATTCGCTCTGGAACAACTGTTACTAGACGTCAAATGATTATAGGATCCGGAAGTTCATCAAATGCTTCAAATCCTATGCCGTTCTCTGATATTACCAATGGTATTGTATTTGTATTTTAGTTTATATATATATATATATATAGATCAATATATTATGGCCTTAAATTCTATGGTAATTTAATGTGTACTTTTACATTATTTTTTAAATATACAGGCCAACCTAACTTTCGTGAAAAAAGGTCGAATAATTCCAATATTATTGGATCGGAGAGCATCGTCATAGACATTTTGAGGGACGACGAAAAGGAAAATATAATTATTACTCCTCCAATCCTGATTTCGTTGTCTAAGCGGTACAGATCACGTTCTGTACCAAATGCCAGTGATGTTATCGATTTAACTCAAGATGATTCCATTCAACCCACTGTTGAGAAGAAAAAGCGTGGTCGTCCTAGAAAGATTCTTGGATCAACCTCGAGATTATCTGGTTATTTTTTTTGAAAATTAATATTAAAAATTATTATTGTCTTATTATAATAGAATATATAATAAAATTATTTTATTTTTGTAGAGTACTGGGACATGGGAGATGCAATATACTGTTGTAAACATTGCGCAGCAAAATTTTGGTAAGAGGAAAGAAAATGTCATCGTCGGAAACCAGTTTGTCCGGAATATTCTGGTTGTTGTCTGAATGGATTAGTAGAGCTTCCATCAGCACGAGATCCTCCTCAATTTCTGAAAGATTTGCTTTATGGAGATGGTCACATGAGCAAACATTTTCAAGAAAATATAAGATCTTACAACAGCATGTTTGGTTTCACTTCAATGGGCGGTAAAATTGATGTTGATATCAATAAGGGGTTCGGACCGCCTGTATTTGCTTTGCACGGACAAAACTATAATCTTATTGGAAGTTTGTTGCCGACTGATGGTTCTACTCCAAAGTTTGCGCAACTGTACATATATGATACTGAAAATGAAGTTTCCAACAGAATTGATGCTGTGAGGTATATTATTTTAGTTCATACACATTTATTTGCCTTTTATTATGCCATTTATGTATTTATTCTATATATATGTATATATATATATATATATATATCTTATATAAAATGTTTAGAAACCATATTTTTTTCTTGAATGACGTTGTATTTTATTTATGCTACAGGAAAGGATCTGATGATACAAAATTGCACGAGGGTATTGTTGTTGGTTTGAAACAGATGCTAGACCAAAATAATGAATTGGTTAAATCATTTCGTCTGGCGAGAGACAGAATGCAGGAGCTCGGAGAGGCTAATGTTAGAGTTCGTCTGGTTGGACGAAGATATAACGCTGCTAGACGGTATAATCTCCCAACCAGTTCTGAACTCGTTGTGTTGGTTGTTGGTGATTTTGACCAAGCCATGGGTGATAGAGACATCTTGGTTGAAACCAAAAGTGGTCTTATTAAGCATATAAATGAGCTCAACGCTTCCTATCTGTCATTACAATATCCTCTATTATTGCCTTATGGTGAGGATGGTTACCGAGAAGACATACTTTTCGCTGAAGGAAAAAAATCAAGTGAAGATGGCCGGAAACATGTCAGTGTCCGGGAGTATTTTGCTTTCAGAATGCATGATAGAGACCGTGAACCGGCTACTATTGTTTCAGCAAGAAGACTTTATCAACAGTTTATTGTTGATGCATATACCATGGTCGAATCATCGAGGCTGCAATATATTAGGTTCAATCAATAGAAACTCCATTGTGAAATGTATAACTGTTTGGTCGATGCCGTTCTTCGTGGGGACACAGATGCCAGTTCCCGAGGGAAGAGGGTTATTGTTCCTTCTTCGTTCACAGGGGGGGCTCGGAATATGATTCAGAATTATCAAGATGCAATGGCTATTTGTAGATGGGCCGGTTATCCTGATCTGTTTATTACTTTCACTTGCAATCCAAAATGGCCAGAGATTGTTCGATTCCTTGAACCGAGAAAATTACGGCCAGAGGACCGACCGGATATTGTCTGTAGGGTGTTTAGATCAAAACTCAAAGAAATGATTAGGGATTTCCGTACGAAGGAGATCTTTGGCAAGGTGATTGCAGGTGAGATATTATTTCATTGCAATTATCTTATAACAATCATTGTGTCTGGACTTCTTAATTTAACCTTTAACAATCTATGACTTATTCGAATTTTAATAATTTTGATACATCATTTCTTGTGCAGTCGTCTACATAATTGAGTTTCAAAAACGTGGATTGCCCCATGCTCATATACTTCTGTTTTTTATCTAAGGATAACAAGTTCCCTAATCCTTCCGACATTGACAGAATCATATCAGCTGAGATACCAGATAAACTATTTGATCCTTTGTATTATGAAGCAGTGAAGGAGCACATGATCCACGGGCCATGTGGTTTGGTACGAAAAGGTTCGTCGTGTATGGTTGATGGTAAATGCAGCAAGCGTTTTCCAAAACAGTTTGTCGAATCAACCACTGTTGATGATGAAGGTTATCCTCGGTATAAACGGCGTGATGATGGGAGGTATATGGACAAAAATGGTGTTGTTGTCCACAATGGATATGTCGTGCCTCATAACCGTGGTCTTTTGATGAAATATGGAGCTCACATCAACGTGGAGTGGTGCTATCAATCACGATCAATAAAGTACCTCTTCAAATATGTCAACAAAGGCCACGATCGTGTGACGGCATCTTTCTATCAAACTTCAGCTGAGGGGGAACCTGAAAAACCTTTGGATGAGATCAATGAATTTATCAGAAGGTAATACATACGTGAGCTCCGATAGTACTTGCAAGTCGGACTCTAATAGTGATTTTCTTTCTGAAATCCATACGCCCGATTCGGGAATTCCAAATCATCAGTTGCATTTGAAAATTGGAACCCCTGTCTTGTTGTTGCGGAATATGGATCATTCTATGGGTTTATGTAATGGGACACGGTTAGTTGTGACAAGATTATCCACTCATGTTCTTGAGTGTAAGATACTCTAGGGATCACGAAGGAGAGAAGGTGTTGATTCCTAGAATGGCGATAACTCCTTCCGATGTTAGAATTCCTTTCAAGTTCCAGAGACGACAATTTCCCATTATGGTATTGTATGCCATGACTATCAACAAGAGTCAGGGACAATCGTTATCGCATGTTGGTTTATTTCTTAAGAAGCCGGTGTTCAGTCATGGGCAATTATATGTTGCTGCCTCCTGTGTCACCACTCGAAGTGGGTTGAAGATATTAGTCTATAATGACGATGACGTGTCGCCAAATCAGACCCAAAACGTTGTGTACAAAGAAGTGTTTACTAATTTATGAAGTTTTTAATTTGTTTTTTCTCTATTTTACATTTGTTATATAACTACAAAGTGCATTAAATTTAATGTTAATATTTAAAAGTTTCAAGAAAATATACCAACCGTGCATCGCATGGGTCAGTACTAGTCTGCACAAATAAACAAGAGTTTTTCCTAATTATATCAAACCTCAAGACTCAAGAACAATTTCATGATTACATGTACAAATCACAATTTCAGGACAATGGAAGTACCTTAATTCAATCAAAAAAGTCACATGAAGTCACCCATTATTCCCTTATTATGAAAGTAAAAAACAGACATACACATTAATGAAGGTTAAAAGTTCAACCAACCAAAAAAAAATAAAAAAATCAAGTCAAACTAATCCAAATTNAAAAACGAGACACGATCAATGACTCGATCGAACCCTCTTTTGAACACCTCGTCCATTGGCCGATTCTCCTTCAGACGAGACATCGATCGACTTAGCCGAGTCCGAGAGATTAGCATAGAGATCAACCACCCTTCTAATGTTGTTGTTAAGCTCCCTAATTAAGCCCACATTCCGAGTCAAATTATCCGGGATTTTGGACTCGTGATTCTGGTTAATCTCGTTGATCAACAGCCTGTTCTGATCAAGAATGTTTTGGACCTGCACGAAATTCTTCTGGAATGTCTCGAGGAATCTTCCTTCAATGTGTGATCCGTTTGCTATGCTCGAGAATGTGTCGTCTTCCATGGAGTTTCTTTCTTCAATCATGAAAAAACAATCAAAACAACTGCAATATATAGATAAATACAACATTAGCAAGAAAAAATTTTCAAATGATTTTCAAGTATGTTTCAGAATTACAAGGACCCTGTTTGAGTTTATATTTATTGAAACATATAAATAGAACAGTGGCATCAAAGGGCAATATAGTTTGATTTCAATTATGCAAAGCTTCATATAAATATAACAGTGGCATCAAAGGACATATTCATTTGTTCTTGTTCCTATAGTTTAAGCAACCTGTTCCAGACAAAATCATTGGAGCCCAAAGTTTGACTTGTTTATCAATATTAACAAGCAAAGGTCGAGCCAAACTCGAATTTTAACAAACCGAGGTATAAAAAGTACATAAAAATTCATATTTTCGAGCCTTGGCTAGAATTGTTAACTAAACTAGCGCGAGATCTCGTTTATCAGCTCAAGAGCAGCTATGTTGGGGAACATGACAAATTATACAGAAACAAATTTGAAGTTTTTTGTTCAATAACAAGAGAAAACACAGAAAACAGACAAAGAAAGAAAATAAAAATGAATAAAAATCAAAAGACATACTGTTCTCTACAGCAAGAAAAAAGCTGTCTCCTCTTTTAACAGTTGAAAAGGTTGGTGATAAGAACCATAATTGAACCCCGAAAATCCACAAAGTAAAAGAATTAGCCAACGGAAAATAAAATTGAACATTGAACAATTCAGAAGTCTGCAAATTGTGATCATTCTTAAAAAAGAAAGGAATCAGAAAGTACTCCCACATAATTACATAAAAGATCACATTTTTATGACAGCCCACTAAAACAAAAAGTAGCTCCTTTCACATCAGCAAGAGCGATAATTTGAACTAAACCCAGAGAATGAACCACAAAACAGATCCCAATTCCCAAAGCCTCAAATTTGATAAAAAAGCACAAGCGAAACGGAAAAATCCACCCAATCGTTATCTTAATTGCAACAAAATTCATATGCAAAAATCATTATCCGGACGAAATTAACGAAATCTGCCTAGGAACAACAGAGCAGAAAAAGTACTTACCTTGATAATCAACACCATGATTTGTTTGTTCTCTTCTTCACGAGATTTTTGTGTGTGACGAGCACACGCAGAGGAGGAGACTTTGTGGTAGTTTCGTGGGGATGTTCTCTCTCTCTCTCTCTCTCTAGAATGTGCAAGGAAGAGAGAGTGGGAAATGGACAGATGGATTAGATACTTTCTCTGTTCTCTCTCTCACGTTTACTTCCCACCTGCGGGATTCGCCTCCTTTCATTCATTGTTGGCCTTTTTCTAGGATGGAAAATGATGAACAAAAAAGTTGTATTTTTTTCAATTTCCTCTAAATCACTATTCCTCAACCTAACTGTCAATCACTATTCATCTTTTTTGTGATTTATTATATTTCAAATATATATTTATAATTCATCCGTGTATTTAGTATTTTTTTTTAAATGATAAAAACTGATTAGTTTAAGTTATTAAAAAAAACTACTTGTGAATTTAAGCACANTCAAATGATAGATTTTATAATAATAAAAACACAAACATAAAAGCTAGAGTCCAGCCATACAGGCGACTACAATAGCCATATGGCCAAAGGAAGCAGCTACACCGCTGAATCTAACAGAGAGAACTGCTGAACGGTAGCCTAGAACATAACACTAAACGCTCCCAAAAGGAGAATAAAAAACAAGAGCTCCCACCAGGAGAATATACTTAATGCACTCCCAACGGGGAGAGAAAGAAGAGAAAACACAGCCTACACACAATGCAACACCAAACACCTAAAACAAAACCAACAACTACACCACCCTTCCGCAATCGACAGCCAAACCAAGTCAATCAACGAAGACGCCAACGGACATCCATCCAAACAGACAGAGCTAAGGCCCAAGAATCCAAACCAGAAATTGCCAAACACAACGCCTAACTGGGTCGAACGCCAACAGACCCAACCCTGCCCCGACGGATATCCGACACCCGCACCCGGAGATCCACACTACAAATCACCCAAAATAACCGGACATACAGGCCCAGGCTCCAGACACCCAGCCCACAGCCCGCGCTTGCTGCCCAAACACCTCAGCCCAACACCAGAGACAGGAGGGACACGGTGGTAGATGGCGGAACCCTTCACCCCGGACCCCCCAAAAGGAAAAACGGGGCCACAGCCCACCCCGAAGAAGCCCTAGAGGCTTGCCCAACAATGCGAAAGACACCGGTAATGTAACCATTTTTGTTACGTTTTTCTGTACTATTTTGTCGTTTCTTTTCCCCCGTTTTAGGTCTTTTTGTTAGTTTTTAGTTCATTTTATAATTTATTGTTTGTTTTGTTCTATTTTGGCTTTTTATGTGTTTTTCGTATATTTTGTCGTTTTTCTACGTTTTTCTTCTTGTTTTTAGTGTGCAGGTCAGAAGCCCCGTGAGGAATCGATTTAGCTCGAAAATGGGTCGGGAAATCATGATTGGATAGATGGGTTCCTTAGCTACACATAAGAAAAAGCGAAATCCAATTTCGAGTTCGGACGAGTCCGGAGGGGTCCAAAACGCGAAGTCGCGCGAAACACGTTCAATGTGTAGGTCAAGAGCTTTGGGAGAATATTATTTCAAGAATAATTTGTCCAATCAAGCATCATTGAATAGAGGAGTTCATTAGCGACACATAGGAAAAAATGGAACTCAATTCCGAGTTCGGACGAGCCCAAACGAGCCTGAAACGCAAAGTCATGCAGCCCAGCCCCCCTAGCGCCGCTAGCTACCCTTACGGACTTCAGAGCCTCGGCCATCCATACCCTAGCGCCGCTAGCACCCCCTAGCGTCGCTAGTACCCCCTAGCGGCGCTACCACCCCCCTAGCGTCGCTAGCTCCTGTTGGCAGACAAAACTTTCATCTTTTTTCCACAAAACATGGCATGAGTTGGAAAGAGCTCGGTAGTGGAGCACTAAGGGGACAATAATCACCTGGAAATGAGGATTTTGGGCTATAAGAACATGCCCTCTTCATCATGAAAAGAATAATTCATCATCTTCCATCCTTGAATCAAGGGGGGTTCTCCCCCCTCTACACTTATCTTTTCTTCTTCACTTTTCTTTAGTTTTTCTTAAGTTTTCTTTGGTTCTTCAAGTGTGGAGAAGAACATTTTCAAGACTTGGACATTGTGGATTTGGTGTGTACTTGCATTTGAAATTGGATTGCACATTATTAGTAAGTTTTCTTCTTTTTCATTGTGTTCATGATGTTGAGAATGGCTTGTTTTGATGTGAATTCTTGTGTTCAAATCGCAATGTGTGGCTAATCCTTTAGCTAGGGGCTAAGGGATAATCATTTCGGTTTCGTTCTCGTTTACGTGCATGACGATAACTCAATCTTGACGAATTGTTTTAGTTATGAATTGATAAAATCATACTTGATAAATTGTTATAACCTAAGAGTGACACTTAGGTTAACTTATTAATAAAATCAAAGAGTGACACTTTGATTTGTGATTGAATATTTATTTGTTGAGTTAGAGTTTGTTAATTCTACGAATTGCGACTTTTAGAACCGAAAGGGGAGGAGTCGTAGAGATAATTGATTTCAAAACCGAGAGGAGAGAAATTGGTGGAATTTGGTTCATTTAGAGTAGACATGTTCGGAGACGTATTGTCTATGTGTTAATTGTTTGGTTAATTCGCTCATTTATGTTTATCAGCATGTTCGGAGACGTATTGAGGTTAAACCGCTAAATGAGTTAATTAGTCGAGCCTTTTAACTGAGTTATTAGTTGCCGTTAAATGTGTGTAGAACCGGAAGCGATTATTCCCGATACCCTAGCTCGTTTATCTTTTTATCGTTTATATTTTTAGATAGATTTATATTTCTTGTTATTTCTTAGTATAATAAAAAACCAATCCTATCTTGATTAGAGTGTTTAGTAGTTTATGTGTTATCAATACCATTTCTAAATTTCGAACAGTCTTCCTCGAGAGATCGACCCGGAAAACGAATCATTCGATTCGGTGCTCGGAAAAAATATAATTTGCTACAACAAATTTGGCGCCGTTGCCGGGGAAGGCAAGTAGGATATTTGGTTTTGGTGTTGATCTTATTTTCCGTATTTCTCTTGTTCTTGTGATATTTGCTTAATTTAAGTGTTTCTCTCGATTTTCTTATTTTTCATTTCTCTTGTTTTTAGTATATTTTTGAAAAATCGTAAAAAAAAAATAAAAAATTATATATATATTTCGTGGCTACGCGTGGTTGTTCTGTTCTTGTGTGCAGGTATTTTGAACAAAAGAATCAATGAACCCGAGCAACATGTTCCCCTCCTCGCAAACACTTCACTGGAACAATGGTCCGAGCTACGGTTCGTGGGAGTATGGCCAGACATGTGCCTTCCCGTACGAGCAACCGTGGTATCCGTTACCTTTCGAGCAATCCTATGAGTTCCCCGTGGACTCCTCGGATGACAATGCTAAGCTCGATTTGGTTCTCGATTTTATGACCTCCCAAGCAACCCGAACGAAAAATCTTGAGGCCGAAATCGAGAACCTAGCGGAACGCATTCGAGTCTTGGAGGATCGAGTTTACAATTCTTCCTCCGATTCCCTCATGGTTAATGAACATCGGGTGAACGCTTTGACGGATGATGAAAAACTCGATCTCCTTCTTGCTCGTATGTCGGCCCAAACAACTCGACTAGAGAAGATAGAGGTTGTATGCACTCGGTTGGTGGTGCAGCTTGACGGTATAATAGAACGCACTCAATCCGTCGAGCCACAAGTCAATGAGCCCATTAGCAATGTCTATCAGATTCACGAGGGCGAGACTGAAGACGAGGAGGATGCGCTCCTAGAGATTGAGGGTGATATCGTGATGGAGGAAACTCCTGTGCCCGAATTCGAGAGTCCCTCACTCAAGCCATCCCTCCGCACTGTCGAGAAGGCCACATTTAGCTCGACATACTCCACGGACACTCTCGTATTCCGAGAGCTTGACTGTGGAGGTTTGACGCGAAGAGCTCTGGGTCGTTTCGTTACCAACCTTGGTGCTCAAGCTCGGTTCCACAAGAACATTGCCACCCGAGCCCACCAGGTCCGTGGTCGTGCCACCCTTCCCATGCTGCCGCTTCTCGAGAATACGAAGGCATGGCATGATCGTCACTTCTTTTTGGATCCTGGTTGATTTGTACAGGTTTCGTCAAGCTAATGACGTTAAATAAGCGCTTCTTGGGAGGCAACCCAAGTTTTATTTACTGTTTTCTTGTGTGTTTCGTTTTTTAGTTTATTTTTATTTTTATTTTTAAATAATGGGAGTTTGGAGTTCTTTGTGGTTCTTCTTTGCAGGACGTATCGAGGACCGGTTACTCGGGGGCGGAAGGCTGAAACGTGAATGCTTATTTCTCTCGAGGCTACTTCGGTTTGCACACTCTTTTCTTTTTCTTGTTTGAATTCCCAGTTTTTGTTCTTATTTCATTTAGGTGTTGATGCAATGGAGACATTGCATTATTTTAAGTGTGGGGGAGTTGACGACTACGCTGTGGATTTTTGCATGTTTATGTGGTAGGTCGTTGTGTTGTCGAGCATGTGGTATTGGTGAATTATATGATTTGTTGATAAATGTTTGATGAAATTGGAAAGTTGTGATGACGGACGTATTTACCATTGCCTCAATATTTACTTGATTGCTTTAAGTGACATTTATTACCTTGTGAGGTTTTGATCCTTACTTTTCTTTCTTGAGAGATATTAGTCGTATTCTCGAATGATTAGAACTTGCCTTGAGTCTATTTGAAAAGAATCGGTTTAAGTTTGAAATTGCAAAAATGATTGAGGCTTTTCGTTTGTTAGCCCGTTTTGCCTTGTTCTTGACCCTAAAAATACATTTTCCGCTAGTAGCCTGTTTGAACTTGAAGCCTTTTCTTGTAAGCCATACACATATATATCTGATTGTTGACAGGTTTTAAGTTATGATTGGTGAAGTGGCGATATTTTTTAATGAGGTAAAAATCGAGTTGCATTTTATGCTTGACCAAAATAAAATAAAAATAAATAAATAAATAAATATACATGAGAGCTCGCAAGACGAATCGATTGGATTCTACTCCGCTTACTTGTTATTCATTTTAACGAGTAATGAGTATTGAGAAATCACTTTAGGACACTTGGATGACCTCCAATGTTTAAACCTAAGGAATATTATCCATATGATTCGAGCTTGTTCGGCAATAGTAACTCTCTAAATAAATAAAAAATGTCAAGCAATATTGCAATTCGAATGGAGCATTTATGTGTTGTTGGTGGACGGTATG